CCGTTGCTTCTTAAGAGAATTAAATGCAGACACCAACAACATAGACTCACATTCCAACCAAAGTTTATACCATCCCATTTCGTAAGCCAATTCAAATGCAAACATTACATCAGTTAGTTTGGCATGAAGAGCAGAAGCTAACCCAATATAAGCAAGAAAACAACCAAGAATACCTTTTGTATTTTCCATATATTTTTTAATCAAAATTAAAGTTTTACTTAATAGAAGATTTATGCAGATTACCAAAGTGAAACTTCATTCTATATGGAAAATTACACAATAAGAAATTGCATTTAGGTTTATGGGATAATAAACATATAATCATTCTAACAACAATTTATATAATATAATTTTTTTGTATTTATCTCTCTTCATCCATCATTTATTACATTTCAAACTTCTCCCTTAGTTGTAACATTTGTTATACACTTCCTTTTACAAGTATCATTTCCCTTTAGATTTTCTCCTTGACCTGTTAAAAACAAATTTCTACAATGAGGTGATTTTAAAAGATATGACCAAAGTGAATTGTTTTTGCCATGTTACCATCGAAATCACTGTTTTTTTTTTATAAGTTAAATCAATTTGTTTCTATATATATATATATATATATTTATCGTTCTTATTCTGTTTTAGGCTATGTAATATGCTCATTTTCTTATCTTTGCATGAATATTTTTTTTTTAATTAATTAACTTAAAATGAAAAAAATATTATAAGAATTAAAAAAAATAGATATATTATAAGAACAAAAATAAGATACTAAGGACTAAAATTTAAAAAAGAGTAAATTTTATAAGATCCATTTTAATAAAGAAAATTTAGTGGAAACAAAATTAGAAAAATAGAAAACAAAAACACATATTTAGGGTGTATCGAGAAAAACTTTAAAAATTAAATTATTTTAGTAATGAATTATATGAATAATTGATTATTGTTATAATTGATTATAGTCAAAATGAAACTTTGTTTGGTTTAGTTAAATGAATTTTTTTTAAAATGTTTAATTTTCTTTGAATACACAAAAAAAAAAAGTTTTTATGTAATAAATCAACTTAAAAAAAATAGTTGAGAAACGATCACAACTTTCAAATTCTCAACTTCATAAAAATAACATTTTTAGAAAAAATGTTAAAAAATTTAAGTTATTATCTCAAACACAATATATTTTCACAAATAACTTTTTTCCTTAAAAATAATTGAGATATGAGATTATAATCTCTCCCAAATAATTAAGTAAAAAAAAGTTTTTTTCCTTTGATTTTGAATATAACAAAAGAAAAGTTGTTTACATAATTTAATTATATTAATCTCTTATAAAAAAAAATAACTTATTTTCTTAAATTATCATTCGTTGAAATTTGATATAAAAATAAAAAAATATTAAAAATCTCAATTAAATAAATAGAATACTACAGAGAGGACAAATATCAAATAAGATAAAATTACTTGAAATTCGCTTATATTTAAAATCAATAAACATGATATATATATTTTTTCCTACGTCGGAGTATAAATGAAGAATTGAAAATACTCTCTCTATTATTTGGTAAAAAAAAAACTGAAAAATAATATATTAAAGGAGAATTTTTTTTTAAAAAAAATATCATTAAATAGGATAAAAGTACTTAAAATTTATTTATATTTAAGATTTAATTTTCCTTGTAAGAGAAAATTGTGGCAGTAAATCTCAACCACCACGACAGAATTAAAGGGTCAGTCTCTCTGGCTCTTAGTTTTTTACTTTATTAATTGTTTGTTTGTGGACCTGTTACTGCTCACTTCTCTTATTCAGTTCATGAATGGCTATCAAATCTCCTCACCAACCTCAGCCTCTGGTGAAGCCAATCCACTTTTTCAAGATCATAACCCCTCAAAGTCTTCATCATGGAAAGCTAGTAAGCACGAGCATTTCAATTTTTATTTCACAAAATAAATTTATCACTTAACTTTTGCCTTTAACTATATTCTGTCCTCAAGTGTCTTAGGTTTTTTTTTTTCTTTTTTAATCTGGTATTACTTTTTGTGACTTTCGGTTCTATATAGATTCAAAGAATGGTGGGGAAAAATTTTAATGGAAGAAAAATAGTTCTTTTATGGTGTAGTTCAAATTTAAAACATGAGTTAAGAATTGAGATATTTAAGATATTATATTAAAAATGTTTTTTTTTAAAAAAAAAGCTCTCTTCAAAATAATTAATATTAGAGGAGAGCTAAATTAGATATTTCTCGCCAATTTTCTATTCTTCTAAAAGTTGAAACAAACAAAAAAAAATTATACAAATCTCACCCTCCTCGTTTCTCTTAAAGAAAATAAGAGCATGTAGACCTTAGAGGCTTTGATTTATTAATATTGCTTATACCGGCATGCACACTAGTTAATCCGTTTTCAAGCAATTTGAATCATGATAAACCTGTTCCTGTGATTACCATTTTTTTTTTTTTTTTTTTTAAAAAAAAACAACAATGTGGCTACTTAACATGCACAGATAAAGATGTATGGTAAATATTGTATTTTCAGTAAGATGTGCAACATGCAATTGATGTAAAAGTCCTCTAACAGATTTTATTTGTGTCATGCTAAGTCTTCATGAAGAGATATGTCAATGACCAATTGAGTATAGAGTAATATATTAATTATGATTCAGGAATTTAAGCCTAACTCAACCCTACAAAACCGGCTTATAAGGTGAGGGTTGCTTTCCACTTATATACTATTCAATTGTCTAATCTCTAGTCGATGTGGGACTTGAGTTTTTTCCAATACACCCCGTCACGTCCCACACTATTAGGTTTGGTACGTCGATAAATGGTAGGTGACCCTTTTTAATGATCTAGGATTGACGGGACTCTCCCTCATGCCTATGAGGCATGTATTAATGGTGGGTAGCCCATTTAAAGTGGATTTAAATGGCTCTAAATAGTGGATTTAAGCCTAACTCAATCTTACAAAACCGGCTTATAAGGTGAGGGTTGCTTTCCACCTATATACTATTCAATTTCCTAATCTTTAGTCGATGTGAGACTTGAGTTTTTTCCAATATTTTGTAAGCTTCATGTTCTTAGTATTGATTAGGTGTTTCTTGTTTTCTGTTTAGTTTTTTTTTTTTGGGTAGTCGTTAACATGTATAGTAAAGTTAGTAGCTTGAATTAATACAATATAACATCTTTCTGAGGCTTCTTATAGATATTACTTTGATGTGGTTGACAGATGTTCCCGGAAAGGTTTGTGGAGAAATATGGAGAAGGCTTACCAAATAGTCTATTTCTTAAGACCCCAAATGGTGCTGAGTGGAAATTTAATTTGGAAAAACGGAATGGTAAAATATGGTTTGAAAAGGGTTGGAAAGAATTTGCAGAGTATCACTCTCTAGCTCATGGCCATCTTTTGGTTTTCAGATGCCAAAGAACTTCCCTTTTTCAGGTACACATATTTGATTTGAGTGCCTCAGAGATAGACTACCCTCCCAGAAGAAAACAAGGTAAAACAGTCTCCAATAATCATGGAAATAGACCTCCAATTGTCAAAATTTTGGAATTGGAATGTCACAGATCAGGTCAAAAGAGAAAAGATAACTCTGCTGTGGAATGTATTCAACCATATCAGTTGAGAAGTCGCAAAAGTGTTAAAGTAGACTATAACTTGATATTGCCCAAGGAGGCTCTTCATCATACTGGCAGAAAGGGCAGAGGTATAAGATTTTGTGTGTCTTCAAGCATTTCATAAAAAGACTCACAAGTTAACACAGATTATTAGCTTCTCTTGACCTTAATTTACTTATATTATCTGATATTTTCCTTGATCTGCACCTCAAGTAAGTCTAGTAAACTATTTGTAAATCACAAACATTATGTAGTTTTCAATTTTTAGCAGCCTGAAAAATGATCACGGAGTTGTAATTTTGCAGTAAAGTCAGGGGCTACGGTTAACCAAATTACAGCCCTTGATAGAGCAAGTTCTTTCAAACCTAGTAATCCATTCTTCTTGGTTGTCATGCATCCATCATACGTGGGTTCTTATAACTTGGTAAGCTGTAGAAAAAGTTTTGGCTTGTAGAACATAAGTTGAAAATGAAATAACATTTTCTCTTTTCCATGGCAGAGTTTACCATCTGAGTTCTGTAAGAGACACTTTGATTTGCGCAAGCATAGACTTATCAACCTTCAGGAGTTAAATGGGAGAGTTTGGCCTGCAAAGTTGGTGGTCCATAAAAACAGGATGAATACAGTCTTTAAATTCTCAGGTGCATGGAAGGAATTTGGGGAGCACAACAACTTGAAAGTTGGTGATGTTTGCATATTTGAACTCGTTCACAGAACTAAACTAACCTTCTTGGTTCACATCTTTAGAGAGACAGACAGTTCCAATTGTTCAACATGCCAAGGTAGGATTGGTGTTTACTTTCTATTCAAACCAATTCCTTATATGTCCAGTAATTATATTCCTCTGTCTTCTACAGAATCTAGTGAAATGAGAGCAGCTTGTCATGTACAAAGAAAAGAAATGAAAACCATCACTGCTACTAAATAATAATCACCAAAGAGTTTCAGTTCTCTTGTATGAAGCTTAACGTGGGATTCAGTACCTTTGTTGGACACTAATACCAAATATTTGGCATTTGTAGAGATTACCTGGTACCTGATGTCATATCTCCTGGGGAGATAATTATGGATTTTTTTAATGAGTTTATTCTCTTTTCTTAATATCTGAAAAGTTAGAAGTTACTTAAGAATTATTCTGTTGACATATTGCTGTAAAATTTGCCAAGACCGAGATGTTGTTACTAGGTATTGGCTTATATTAATTATGGATGCTTGTTGAAATTACTAGCTTCTGATTTCTATTTGTTTTTAAGTAATGTTGCAAATATTACTACAATATCAAGAAATATTGCAAATATGAAATCAAGGAATAGTGGTTCTGCAGGATGACATGTGATTCTGCCCCCATGCCAAATCTTAATTTGAAAAGTTTAAATTGATTTTCAACTACAAATAACATGTATAAAAGTACGATTTAGACGTTTTTGAACATGATTTTAGTTCTCAAATCATAGTATTTTTTTTTTTCGGTAAATGGAGATCAATAACAGAAAATAATGTTACAACCTTAGAAGCGATACCACACTTGCATCAGCTATAAGCTAGTGGTGCAAATCAACTTGGAGAACCTTCAACTCAAGTAGCACACTGATAGTGGTAAAGTTTGGACTTCGCTTTACTAAGAAGTTACTACATACATTACCTTCTCTAAAAGTTTGTCTAAAAACATCTCAAGGTTTTTTTTATCAACTACTTAATACCATGTATAAGAGTTGTATCCCAAGATATTCCCATCATCTCTTTAATACTACCAATAAGAGTTGAATAGCTAACATAAACCAGACAAGACTGATTTATAAAAATACCTGTACGTTAAGTTAAAGTAATAAATCACTAAAGAAAATTTCCTTCTCTAAGCTATTTTCAATCCTTGAAGTATAGTTAACAACTCTTTTTGAGTATTATTTGCCCACCTTATATCTCGATAGAAGTCTAGGATTCACTTGCCATTCAAATCTCTAATGATTTTGCCAATCAAATCTCTAATGATTTTGCCAATTCCATCTGAGCCGATTGGCCCAAAGAGAGCTACCATTCAAATGCAGGGAGATTTGATCCCTCATAGTTATAATACACATGACCCAATTTTTTTTTTGAGGAAAACAACTCGCCATTAGAGTCACACCCTCATGTATGATGCATGACCTCATGCAAAGAAGTTGCCTCCTGAACAATCTTTCATGTAGTTTTGACTTGTGCTTTGAACACAAAATCATAACGAGAAGTCAAGATCATCCAACACAAGGTAAGTGATAAAGAGTCAAAACCTTCTATATGAACCCAGGACAAATCAAAATAGTTTGATCAAAGATAAAAAAAAAAAAAAAAAAATCTTTTTCACCGAGTCAACCCATCATTTTGAAACTATAATTTACATAAAAAAAAAACTTTTTTATTACATTTTTTTAATTTCATTACTATACTTTTTATATTAAAATGGGATAATTCAGATTTATAAGAAGTAAATAGCTACTATTACTTTAAAAACTGAATTGATAATAAAAATTAAAATAACACCAGTGACATATGAAATAAAATAACTTACTTCAGTAAATTTAAGGTCCTTAATATAATTTATATCTATTATAAAAGAAATATCTATTTTTAACTATCTACTTGATTTTCACTTTTGTTAGAGATAATTATTATGTTAAACATATACCTTTCTGTTAGAGATAATTATACTGTTAAACATATACCTTTCTGTAACTAGTTCTTAGCTTTTTTTACTTTTGTTGAAGACAATTATACCTTCAAACAACTATAAAAGATGTAACTATCTTAAAAAATTATTTAAGGGAAAATTAAAAAAAATAAAAATACAATCACTAATTCTAAGATAAGTTGAGTCCCTATTATTGCAATATAATTAGATTCTTTGATTGAAACTTTGAAACAAATAATATATAACTAATGTGAGATAAAACATTCAATTTTAACATGGTTATTCTATTTCGAATCTATTTATTAAGAACCATAATTAAAAGATAACAACCCTGTAAAGAATTATAGAATATAATAGTACTATATTTTTATTTTATTTTATAATATCATGTTATTTTCTTCGCTATACTTTATAAAAATATTCCAACAAAAATAAATGTATTTAATCTCTTAAAATTAGAAAATATTTATTATTTTTTTATTGCTTTAAAGTATTTTATTTTATATAAAATTTAGGACAAAGTTGTTTTCAATCCCAAATTAGAAGTAACATTTTTTATCCTAAAATTCGGAAATAGTTCATTATAGTCCGCCATCACAAATGGTGTTCTACCTGTTGTTATGTAGTCATGGTGTCCACGTGTCACATGATAACGTGAAAAATATTAAATGAGATGGAATTATTTTATAATTTTTTTGGCTTAAATATTTTTTTTGGTTTCTTAACTTTGGCTCAAGTTTTCTTTTTCTCTTCAAATTTAAAAGTATTTTTAGTCTTCAAATTTAAGAGTGTTTCTCCAAATTTAAAAGTGATCTTTTAATACATTAATTTTAAAAAAAATATATCATTTTGGTTCTCAAAGTTGACATAGTAAAAACGTTAGTCGACATGGTTATCAGTCTTTTTATTTTTTTCGAATTTTAAAATACGATTTATGGTGGTTTTAAATCTCCAAAATTTAGATTATAACAAATCATGTTTTAAAATATATTTGCTATGGTTTTAAACCCCAAAGTTCAGCAAAGAAAAAAATCAAAATAAAAGAAATCACTACGACCATCGATCCCATTCAAACATCGCACGTGTTCGCGCATTGCAAGTGAAAATTGCAACCATTGTGACATGACTAAGAGCACGAGAAAAAGAAAAAGAGAGTGACATGACTAAGTGTGACAAGTTCTAGTTTGAGTTGCACTAATTATTTTATTACTTTAACATGTACTTTACCATTCAATGCGCACACAAAAGCATTAAAGCTGGTAGACAGAACCGGGTAGTAAATTCAATCTCAATCACAACCACCAAATTATAGAATTAAAGTGTTGAGTCTCTCAATCTGGCTTGAGTTTTAACTTTATTGTTTATGTTTGTGGAAAACCATTACTTCTGCAAAAGCTACCTCTTGCAATTGTTCTCTATTCCAACCCCTGAGTGCGCCAGTAGTACTTACTTATTCAGTTCATGCATGGCTACTCAGCCTCAAGTGAAGCCAATCCACTTTTTCAGGATCATAACCCTTCAAAATCTGCATCAAGGAAAGCTTGTAAGCACATGCATTTGAATCCTGCCTAGTTAACTTTCTTTAGCTACATTTTGTTTGTTATGAAGTGTTTTATGCTTTTATCTCTTTAATCTAATGTCACCTTGTCTTGCGTATAAAGAAAATGAGAGCATGCAGACCTTGATTGTGAACCTTGGTACCATTGCTTATACATGCATGCACACTAGTTTATCCGATTAGGAAAACGATCAATGGACACCTACTACTGAAACTGGTGATATATTTTGTATTTTCTGTAAGATATCAAATGCAACTGATGCAAGAGCCATCTAACAAATTTTATTTTGTCATGCTTTTTCCATCTATTTACTCACAAAAATTGGCTAATCTGCATGATCAGACATATTAGTAACTGATCTTAGAGGAATATGCATTCATTTGGATTAGGAAATAGGAATGTTACATTTTCAGATGAAGTAAAAATAATTAATGGCATCGAGGCCACAGCTTTTGACTTACTTATTTGATATTAGATTAGATCTATATAATGAGCCAGCCTTTTTGCTTTCCACACACTTATTTTTGTCTACCTTACCTCAACCTCTTGCTAGGTTTTTGGGCCTCTTAATAAAAAAGCAGAGAGTAATTTCAAATTTTGAGTGATATTAAACTGTATAAAATTGATAGAATTTTGCCTACATTCATGCAATATAACACCTTTCTGAGCTTTATTATACATATTATTCTGATGTGTTTGACAGATGTTCCCAGAAAAGTTTGTGGAGAAATATGGAGAAGGTTTATCAACAAATACTCTATTTCTTAGTACACCAAATGGTGCTGAGTGGAAATTGAATTTGGAAAAATGTGACGGTAAAATATGGTTTCAAAAGGGTTGGAAAGAATTTGCAGAGTATCACTCTCTAGCTCATGGCCATCTTTTGGTTTTTAGATGCCAAAGAACTTCCCATTTTCAGCTACGCATATTTGATTGGAGTGCCTTAGAGATAGAATATCCTTCCAAAAGAATAGAATGCGAGACAGGCTCCAATAATCAAGGAAATACATCTACAAATGTTGGAAAATTTGAGTATCACAGACCAGGCCAAAAGAGAAAAGACAACTCCTCATTGGAATTTGTTCAACGATATCAATTGAGAAGTCGTAATTGTCTTAAAGTTGAGAAGACTGAGATATTGCCTAAGGAGATCCTGCATCATACTGGCACAAAGTGCAAAGGTATAAGATTTTGTGTCTTTAAGCATTTCATAGAAAGCTTCACAAGTTATCACATATTATTATGTAGCTGCTATTGTCCTTAATATACTTCTATTATTTGATATTATCCATGGCCTGCACCTCAAGTATGTCTAGTAAACAATTTGGAAACTGCAAACATTCTGTAGTTTTCATTTTTCGCAGCTTGATAGATGATCACGAAATGTTTGCCTTACATGGAGTTGTAATTTTGCAGAAAAATCAAAGGCTACTGCTAACCAAGTTTCTGCTCTTGATAGAGCAAGTTCTTTCAAACCTTGTAATCCGTTCTTCTTGGTTGTCATGCATCCATATAATGTCGGTTCTCGATGTCTATTGGTAAGCTGGAGAAAAAGTTTAGGCTTGTTGAACATGAGTTGAAAAACAAAATAACTTTTTTCTTTTCCATGGCAGACTTTACCACTTAAGTTTTGTAGGAGACACTTTGATTTGCACATGAAGCAGGGACTAATCAACCTTCAGGTGTTAAGTGGGAGATTTTGGCCTGCAAAGTTCCTGATCTATATACACGAGACAACAACAAAAGTTAGACTATCATGGAGGGCATTTGTGAAGAACAATAACTTGAAAGTTGGTGATGTTTGCACCTTTGAACTCATTGATAGAACTAAACTAACCTTCTTGGTTCGCATCTTTAGAGAGACAGGGAATTCAAATTGTTCAACATCTCAAGGTAGGATTGATGTTTACTTTTTCATTCAAAAAAATTCCTTAAATATCTAATAAATATTCCTCTATCTTCTACAGAATCTGGTCAAGTGAGAGCAGCTTGTCAATTACAGAAAAAAGAGATGAAAATCATCACTACTACCAAATAATCATCGCCAACGAGTTGCAATTCTCTTGAAGTAGGATTCAGTACCTCTTTGGAATACTAGCGAATATTTGGCATTTGTAGAGATTAGCTGATACCTGATGTCATATGTTCAAGTGTGGAGATAATTTTGGATTTTTGAATGAGTTTATTATCTTTTCTTAATATCTGAAAAGTTAGAAGCTACTTGATTATTATTCTGTTGACATTTTGCTGTAAAATTTGTCAAGACCGAGACGTTGTTACTAGCTATTGACTTATATTAATTATAATAGCTTGTTGAAATTACCAACTTATGATTTCTGTTTGTTTTTTTTTGAAAAATTGTGGAGGCCAAAGTGGTCGAGGAATGAAATCACATGGGGCCAAGTCAGGTAACGAAACTCAACAGACTCAATCACACAAGTAATCAATAGATATATAAAAATTTATGTCACACAAATAGCAAGTTTTTACACGTGTCAATTATATACACATCTACAATTTTTAATGACTTTCTTAATCTGCTATCTACATATAATGCTTTAGGTTAGGAAAAAAGACATTTTTAGTCTTTCAAAATTGTTATGTAAGTGGTATTTTAGTCTTTTGGTTTGAAAATTTTTTTCATTTTTATTTTGATAAAAAAAAATTCTTATCGAAAAGATGTTTTTACATTTTTGAAACTCCTCAGTTTTTTAGCATTTATGATGGAAAAGATGTTTTCAGATTGAAAAACGGTTGTCTTTTTTTTTTTTTGGCATCTCATAGTTTTGCTTTTTTATTTCTCTCACCATATTTATGAGTTTTTTCAAATTTATAAATATAAAAATCACATACTTTGTGATCTGCATATTAAGCGTGTGTTTGCATTCGCGTTTAAAACATGAAAAATCACGTTTAACGTGGAAATACTATCTGATTTTAAAGCTTCACATCGTTAGTACTAGGTAGATTTCTTCTACCTCTTTTGTTTTGGTTTAAATTTTTTATTGCTTTTTAACCAATGACATTAATTTAATATTTTAATTATAGACATAATTATTTTTAACAAGAGATGTTATTTTAAATTATCTTGAATTTTATTTTCAAATTATGATTTGTGTCAAATAACAAGTAATGCTCAATTATTAATTACTTGTAAACTTCACTTATTCATCAAGTTATTAATTTAATTGTTAGAAATTGTTGAAATTCGATGTTGATAATGAGATAACTTAACAATGAGTTAATATTAAAGTAAATAGATTCTTTCTCTATATGTTTGTGTCCACATATGTGGGAGAAGAATCAAATTACATCGACTTGATTTTTATAATTATTACATCGTTCAATAAGTTTATATAAAAAGGAAATTTTGTCAATTCAATCTTAAACCTTAATTCAAATTACATAATACATTGGTATAATTTTTACAATTATTACATCGTTTAATAAATTCATTAAATAAATTTATATAAAAAGTAAATTTTGTCGATCTAATCATTGAATTAAAATTTTATATTATCTTGAATATATATGTCAATTTTTTTTTATAAAATTGAACAATAAGATGACAATCATATTGGTTATATTTTAGTATAGTTTGAAATATATATTTACATCAATTTTCATTTATATAAATGTGGTATAAAATAATTTTGGATTAATAAAATTTTTGTATATATAATCTAAGAGAAAGAAACTCTCAATCAAACAATAAATTTTAATAAATAATCATTTTGTTGACAATGTTACTAAGTAGTGTAATAGTTGGTAAAAATTGCACTGGTATAATTTAATTCATCCCATGCATATATAAGAATGTATATTAAAGAAATACTATCTTTGTTCCTCTATATAAGACCTAATTTCCTAATTTATCAAGATTAAAAAAGTAATTAATTTAGTTGATAACAATAAATTTGTCCTATATATATATATATTTATATTTATATTTTTTTTTTCTTCTATAAAACTGCACTTATAATACTTTTTTTTCCTAATTAAACTCATATGTTATCTAATAAATTATATTAATGTCCTCTCTATTAATATAATTAATATTGTTCTTTCTCTTAACCAATTAGAATATATCTTCTTTAAAGAATATATAATTAATTCATTTTATCAAATTAAAAGAATATATTTTAATTAAGGTATTTTAATAAAAAAATTAATAAATAAAATAATATAAATTCAGCCTTATATTAAAGAACAAACAATTATTTCATGTGAAATCTTATAAATACGAACATTGATATTAATAAATAAGACAAACTAATTAATATAAATATTTCCACTAAAACATATGCACCACTTATTCTAGGGTCAAAAACATATTCTCACTATCAAGCTACTTATGACCATAAATACGGACTGTTTTTAAATTTTATTTATAAATTAAATTTGATATTCTACTGAAAGAGACTTACACAAAATAACTTTATTATAGATTTTTTTATATGATATTTATATTTCCTTACACATAAATTTAAATTCATTTGTTGTTCACGCTTTATATACAAGTCAATTTCATCATGATAAACTTCTTTATTTAACAAAATTTAGAAGCATTAATCCATTTTTTTAACAAACCAAGTATCAAATTGAATGCTTTTAGTTTGGGAAACTTCTCTTCTTTCTTTATTGGTTCTTGGTAGCAGTTATAAAAATGTGTAGTAATAAATTTGTTTTGATTAATATGAGCACAAGTTGCACAACATAACTTGGTGATTCTGTTTCAACTTGGAGTAGCAATTGAATTTAGTGAAAGGGCAAGCTATTTTGGGATAGCCACTAATTTTATCTCGTACTAACTAAAGTCATACACGAAGATCTCCAAACAGCAGCCAAGAATGTAAACTACTGGTCAGGAACAACAACCTTGATCCCTCAGGCTGGATTTTTTTTGGATTTTTTTTTTCTTTTCAATTTGTTTATATAATTATATAAGGCTCATTTCTTGATGTCAAACCAGGGATTAAGCCTGTTGGCCATGTCTCAATTCATCCCAAGTCTAAAGGCCTGCAATACTAAGATATGCCATAAGCCTAGGAAGGTTCATGAAGTGGTTTTCTTCCTTGCCCTTTACTGCATCTCCTTAGGTTCTGGAGGATACAAACCATGCTTGGAAAGCTTTGGAGCTGATCAATTTGATGATGATAACTTGAAAGAAAGGAAGAAAAAGATGTCTTTCTTTAACTGGTGGAACTTTGCACTGTGCTTTGCATTGCTGCTTGGTGCAACAGTGGTTGTTTATATCCAAGACTTCGTTGGCTGGGGAGCTGCAGGTCTTACCCTCACTATTTTTATGTTTAAGAGTATATTAGAAGTGTTGAAGTCAAGTGCAAAATCAATAAGAGCTAGTTAATTGGAAAGTTAATGTCACTAGAGCACATCAGTGAATCAACAAATTGCTGGACAATATGTGCCATAATTATCCAAATATTGAATATCATGATTGCAAACTGTCATATGACTGTCCTCATATTGCTCATTATTGTTTCAGAGATTGGCAAGAGTTCAAAATCAGGGATAAGTACGGGTGCACTGGTTGGCATAGTCATAGGGGCAATTGCTTGTGCAGTGACATTATCTGCAATTGTTACCATTCTTATATTGAGAGTAAAATTGAAAGATTATCATAGCATTTCCAAGAGACGGTCATGGTGTTGATGTTATTGTGTGTGCTATTTTTCTCTTTAACTTGTCTCATGTGTTATTCCTCTTTGACAAAGATCAGTGTTGATGTTATTGTGTGTGGTATTTTAACTTTGCCTGAACCGTATTTGAAATCTAATTATCTTTTAATGTCATCTAAAATGGTCTTACTTTAATGGAGTTGGTTTGATATATAGAAATGTTCTATTTGTCCTGCATGGAGTTTGGTCCAATTATAAGCATTTTGAATGCCGTAGATATGTAATATAGAAGGAGTAAATGAGAGGTATGCCTGATTGTTTCAACTTTGTACAAGTTCTTTAGGATTTGGCTTCTAAAACCAGCTTTTGAGTTGTTTTAATTCGGTTTCCTCGAACCAACATAAGTTCTTGCTTTTGAGTGGCAGCGGCTTGCAAATTAGAGAGGCACTTTAGTTGCATGTAGATGTTCAGAAGCATCTTCATGAATAACAAGAGGTATATTTGTTATATCTTATATTTTGGCTACCATATCTTCATGTTCTCCAAACCTTGTAGGTTCATACTTTGGACTTGTTAGTTATATTCTCTTCACAATGTTCTCTGGCTTCAAATTTCTTTGTATTTACTTTACTGGTTTCAGACCCTTGTGATTTTGTGGCAAAATTAAAATGTATTTTGTGGCGGTTTTAAACGGCCAGAAAATGTCCAAAGGCAAAATTAAAATACATTTTGTAGCGGTTTTAAACCCCCACAAAAGTGGTTGTATTTTCTGACACTCACAACCAGCTAGGGATGGCAACGGGGCGGGGCGTCCCATACCCGTCGGGTATGTAAATTTTGTCTCATCCCCGTCTTGATATTTTACATGGCCTGCACCTCTGTGTTGCAAAATGAAAGATGATCACAAAATGTCTGCCTTACTTGGAGTTGTAATTTTGCAGAAAAATCAAAGGCTACTTCTAACCAAGTTACTGCTCTTGATAGAGCAAGTTCTTTCAAACCTTGTAATCCATTCTTCATGGTTGTCATGCGTCGATCATACCTCCATTGTAAGGGTTCTTATCTGGTAAGTTGCAGAAAAAAATTGGCTTGTAGAACACAGGTACCTTTAAAAATAATATAACTTTTGTCTTTTCTATGGCAGGGTTTACCATGTGAGTTTTGTAGGAGCTACATTGATTTGCACGATCAGCAGAGACATATCAACCTTCAAGAGTTAAATGGGAGAGTTTGGCCTTCAAGGTATCTAATCACGAAAAACAATAGAAATACAAAACCAAGATATAGACTCAAAAGTGGATGGAAGGCATTCGTCAAGCACAATAATTTGAAAGTTGGTGATGTTTGCACCTTTGAGCTCATTTGTAGAACTAAACTAACCTTACTGGTTCACATCTTTAGAGAGACAGACAGTTCAAATTGTTCAACACCTCAAGGTAGGATTGATTTTTACTTTTCCATTCAAAACAATTCCTTGTATCTCAAGGTAGGATTGATTTTTAATTTTGCAGAAAAATCAAAGGCTACTACTAACCAAGTTACAGCTCTTGATAGAGCAAATTCTTTCAAACCTTGTAATCCATTCTTCTTGGCTGTCATACATCCATCATACTTGGGTTCTTCTGCTGGTCATTTGGTAAGTTGCAGAAAGAGATTTGGCGTGTAGAACATAAATTGAAATACAAAATAATTGTTTCTCTTTTCCGTGGCAGAGTTTACCATCCGAGTTTTTTCGGATACACTTTGATTCGCACATGAAGCAGAGACTTATCAACCTTCAGGAATTAAATGGGAGAGTTTGGCCTGCAAAGTTTGTGATCCATAAAAGCAGGACGAAAACAAGATATAGATTCTTAGGTGGATGGAAGGCATTTGTGGAGCACAATAACTGAGTTGTAATTTTGCAGAAAAATCAAAGGCTACTTCTAACCAAGTTACTGCTCTTGATAGAGCAAGTTCTTTCAAACCTTGTAATCCATTCTTCATGGTTGTCATGCGTCGATCATACCTCCATTGTAAGGGTTCTTATCTGGTAAGTTGCAGAAAAAAATTGGCTTGTAGAACACAGGTACCTTTAAAAATAATATAACTTTTGTCTTTTCTATGGCAGGGTTTACCATGTGAGTTTTGTAGGAGCTACATTGATTTGCACGATCAGCAGAGACATATCAACCTTCAAGAGTTAAATGGGAGAGTTTGGCCTTCAAGGTATCTAATCACGAAAAACAATAGAAATACAAAACCAAGATATAGACTCAAAAGTGGATGGAAGGCATTCGTCAAGCACAATAATTTGAAAGTTGGTGATGTTTGCACCTTTGAGCTCATTTGTAGAACTAAACTAACCTTACTGGTTCACATCTTTAGAGAGACAGACAGTTCAAATTGTTCAACACCTCAAGGTAGGGCGGGTATTCCCCGTCAAAGTCGGGACGGGTTCGGGTATTACCTACGGGTACGGGTTTATTTGCCATCCCTACAACTAGCGTTTACCAAATATACGTCACAGCGATCGTGATTAGTGGCAGTTTTTAACCGCCAGAATATTTCAAAGTAACCTCACAAATCACACATGTTTCCATTTTGTAGCGTGTAATACTTATAAATCATAATTATATTTATTATTTTTTAAGTTTAGACTTGATTGTTTTGAATTTTTTATGAGTATTTTAAGAAAATAAAATAAAATTTAGAATGGTTAAGAATTGTAATGAAATTGCATGATTTTCTAGAAATTTATAAATTTATTGTGGTTTAAGTTCACATTTAACATCGTTGTTAAATTTCAATATCATTATTTTGAAAAGACTATGTTTATAGTTTATTAACCTTATAACAACTCCAATGAAAACAACTTATATGAATTGTTCAATATATTTAAAGGTGTGATTCGTAGTTCCTATTGTACCACATCATCACTAAGCAACTATACCCAATTTTGCTCCAATGGAAAAAATATAATAAACTTGATTTTGTATATATATTTTTTTATTTTGATTTAATTATGTAATAATTGCTTGTGGTCCCCAATGGATCTAAAATGTTATTTTTTTATCGATAAGGAGCAGTTGCTTGTTGAAGAAATTGAAAAAAAATAAATAAACAACTTTCATTGCCATGTCAGGTTACTCCGGTGGAAGAGTTGATTTGAGCAACCAAAGCTTCAAAAGCATCTCAATAAGTATCTCTCATTAAAAATGCTCTATTAGGGATACAACCTATTAGCTAATATAAACAACATGTATTACAATATAATATAGTTGTAATTACTAGTTTGCAATTATAGTGTAAAGAAACACATTATGTACCACAAGAATTACTAATTGATGCACCGTTTGGAGAGTTATGTTTAAAAACACATTTAAATTTAAATTCAAGTATATACATAATAATTACATGCATGGAAATGAAAATAATCAGTGCATTTGCACGTGTGTATCTTACTAATTTTAACTTTAAAGGAAATAACAATGAGGAAGTAAAAAAGAAAATTTACATTAAAGATTAATTTATACACATATCAATCTTAAAACTTGATTTGCTTTTTTTTGTTTTTTATCAAACTTAAAACTTGAATTTAAGACCTTAAAATTTGAAGACCAATCACAATATCAATTAGACCAATTAATGTTGATTCTCAAAACTTACTATAAATTTAATTACTTATTAAAAATTATCTTGCAAAACAGTATAATAAAAACTTAAATAAATGTTTTAATATTTTTATGAGTTGTTAAAGATCTGACCAAACAAAAGTTGAAAAGTAAGTATGATATTATCATTCAATCGTCTGGATTTACTTTTTGACTACACTTTACAAATAGCCCAATTTCATAAGACAAAACAAAACGCAAGTATCAAACTTGCTGCCACTCCTCTACGTAATGAAAACTCTAAAAAATATGAAGACTATACACATAAAAGAAGGAAACTACAACAAATGAGTTGCACTATAAGGGAAGAGGAACGGGAAGAAAAAAAAAAAGGTTTTGTCGCATGCAAAAGATGAATGCTGAAACATGAAACACAATGTGAATTTGAATTTTGAATGAAAGTGTAGGTTACACATCTTCATACAAAGGGTGCAATAAAGACCACTCCATGCCAGAAAAGTAATGTCATTTCCAAAGAAGCTTGGTTCAATTGTGGAATAAATGAAGTTGTTGTTACCTTTTTTATTTTATTTTTTTATTTTTTATAAATATTCCTACAGTGATTCAAGTGCTTGAGAAAGTTATGAGGTCATTGGAAATCAAGTATGAACTCATTTATTAGGCCTAGTTCTATTCATATAGAAGCTAAAGGCTTTAAGTGCCCTTTAGCTAAACATAAACAAAAGATTTGGAAATCAAGTTTATGAAGTAAGGAGTACAAATGAGGAAAATATGGTACCAAGTCTTTCTTAAATGGTCAGAAATGGATATGATTTACATGCACCTATAACCCTCCAGCTAAGTCAGCCACAACCTAAATACAAGGAACCATAAGCCAATGCAATGAAACTTGGGTATTCCCTCAAACTAATAATATATCAAGTCTATAATTTTTCTTTTTTAATTTCATGAAAAACTAAACACTTGATCTCTGTACTAGATTTGTAACTGTATTAGATAAAACTATTTAGTAATAAAGGACAATCTTCTACCTCAAAACATTTGAATAAAATATAATCAACTTAAAAAAATTAAAACCATTTTGCATGTACAATAAAAGGATTCCCATCTCTTTTTTCTTTGTATAAAATATTTGTATTAAATATAAACTCAAATGTATTAAAGATAAGGATGAGTTCACAAATAGGAACAAACCGACCTTTACAAGTATTCCAAAGAAGTTATATTTTGATGGGTTTTTGGTTTGGACATGCAAATTTCATATTTCAATTTTTTTTTGTTATAATTCAAGGAAAAAGAACTTCTAAAACAAAAATTCAAATGGAAATACAAAATACGCACCTTGTTGATGAACTTTATTATGATCCTTTTGAGAGATCAAAAATGCAAAAGATGTGTGTTTCTAAGTGGGAAATTTGTCTTTATCATTGAGTGACACATGTAAAGCTAAAACCTTCTTTTATATATATAAATGATACCATGAATGATATATTTACAACCATTTCTAAGATCATATTCAACTCTGACAATGACAAATATTCAACTCTGACAATGACAAACACATCAAGTTGACCTTGTAGTTGTATTGCATCCATACTCAATCATAAGACAACCTATACATATTGTAAAAGTCACCATAGAAGCAAAGGTAATTAAGATTAGACACCAATAGGTCAACAAATAAGGAACTTACTGCAACTTCAATTTCTCTACACAATTAACATATGTAAAAAAGTGCGTACCACCCGAGCCATAGAGTACAAAAAAGGAATTACCATCATCATTATACTTCCCCTTTACTAGATCATTTGACTTGGAAGCTTCTGCTTTTGTCCAAGCAAACAACACATTACAACAACACGATACGACACTCATTTCTTAGTGCACCTCTAGTTAGACTAATTTTTGTTGGACAATCTCTAACACTACAAAAAAAAAAAAAAGTACTTCGCAACTAGCTAATCTATCACTATTTTGTGTTGTTATTGTGCTCAACAATTGAATTAGCGACTAGCACAACCTTGTCGCTAAAGGCCTAGTTGTTATTGCTAATAGCTATCTAATTTGTTTATGTAGCGGCATAATAGTGGCATCACTAGACCGAAATTATCAATCACTACAATATTGCCCGCCTAACTTGATGTGACTAATTTTGCGATCAAATTTTGTTGTTGCTATTTTAGTCGCCAAAAACATTCTTAAAAAAAAAAAATTCATTTAAATTCAGTCCCTAATTCTGTTGCAATTAGCCATTAGGTTACCCTATTGGTATTTTGTCGTTAAATAAAACATATATTTTAATTTTAATTTGATCTTACTTTTGATTTCTGATTTAGTTGCAAAATATTTTTAAAATGGTTACGAATTCGGTCACTATGTTTAACCATTATTTTTAAAAAAACTAAAATTAAAATTTATACTTATTAATAAGCATAAAATTAAAAAAATATTTATTATCAAAATATTGATTACATAATTTATAATAATGAACTAGAACATACTAATAAATGGCTTTTATGATATCTCATCAATGTAGACTTATAGTATATAATGGAAACTAAATAAAATATAACTAGGTTAATATAATATGTACTGAAAATCCAGTGATAACATAAAAAGTTAGAACTTCAACAAAGTAAAAGTGAAATATAACTAGAAATCTTGAGAAAAGCAAAATAAAAGAGTCTAATTAAGAGTTTTCTTCAACAAATTAAAAGTGAAATACAACATAAATCCTAAAACAAGTAAAGTAAATGAGCCTAATCAAGGGTCCTATGCTATCTCATCAAGTGCATCATCAACACCATGCTCATGATCATCTGTGGTAGTACTCAATGGAGGAGGGTTGACCTTAAATGGTCAATCTTAAGGTGTCATAGTATAGACTGCATTTGCTCATCATATGTCCTATATGTTCTTCCAACGTTTTTTCGTTTGCTTCCTTTGTAACAAGCTCATTCTTTAATTTAGCTATCCTATTTTTCATTTTCTCTATCACCCATATAGTGACTAGTGATGCTTGTGACTTAGAAGATTGAGGACTTGTTGAGAAAATGAAATCATTAGTCAATCTAGCAAGCCCATGCATGTTTCCTTTCACATCCTTTTCCTCATGACCACATCAATTCTCAATTTTTTACTATATGGGAGCATGCATGGTAATTAGTAATACTACCACAATCTCTCTCTTTCACACATTCATTCAACAACATACATTATTCAGTACGTAGAAAGCCAACCTACAATGCGTGTATGAGAAGATGACGACAACGTTCAACAATCACTACAAATTGTATAGAGAAATTAAATGACGCACGCAACCTGCTCCTAAGGATGGAGAAGCCCTTACGTGGTGGAAGGCTATATGGAGGCTATACAACCAAACAGAGAGGGCTGTATGGAGGATGTTCGGAAGTCACGGAGGTTAAGATACAAACAAAGGGCTTTCACTTTCTATTCTTTCAAACAAGGCTTTTTATTTGTTAAAATGTGTTGAATTTGATTTATTTTAAAATTAAATATGTCATTATCTTTTTGAAAATATTTGAAGTTAAAAGGAAAAAAAATTGATTAAACTAATCTCATTTTAAAAAATTAAAGACTTAATTGAACTTTTTCAAAATAAACTTAACAATTAAATAAGAAAATCAGAACCTCTTAAAAATAAGAGAATCAAGTTCAACTTAAAAAATTATTAAATAAATAATATAAATTATTATATAATATAAGAAAAATTTATAAATAATATAAATATAAATAAAAATGATTAATTTTTATATTATATTTTT